AAAATATAATTATAGAAAAAAAAAAAAGAAGGGTGGGGCTATGGGGCATGAGTGACAGGAGTTGGCTGTGACCACCAGAGCTGGAGGTGGTGGTGTTTGGGGAGGGCTAGACCCACTGCTGACAGGTGTGCCTGTCCCCAGCACCTTCCCACCTCAGAGCCCCCCCTCAAGTGCACTCCGGAACCCCCCTCAGCATTGCACTCTGTGGATCTCCACTGACTCCACTGGGAGGTTCTATGCTGACCTGGGGATCCTCCTCTGGCCACCAGAGCACTCTGCCCAGCTGCTGTGGGCCTTCTGGAACTGCACCTCCTTGGGGGAGCCTCGGGGGCGTGGCCGGCTCAGCTTCCGGCCCTAAGAAGCTTAGCCCCTCAGGAGCAGCCCTGGTGCAGGTAGACAGTGAATTAAAAAGTGCTCTCTGAGCCGTAGAGGCATTTGCTGAAAGGTTAAACCCACATCTGCGCCCAGCCGCGTGGCATTTCAGAGCTGTCCCATCCACCACCCCCACAGAGCCCCAGGCAAGGCCCAACCTATACGTCACCAAGGGTCCCAGCAGCCCCCAGGAGGGGCAAAGTGGGGAGCTAGGGAGAGCAGGGGGGAGGACAGCTTGAACAGATGAACACTGGGCTCCCCCTGGGGAGGGGATCCTGTAGCCTGGCTCCCTGGGGAACCTTCAGGGAGGATGTGGGGATTAGGGGTCCCAGGGGAGCTCTGAGGGGAGGGAAAGAGGGGACAGGACAGCCCTTGGAAGACCCCTCCTTACTGGAGCTGCTAGTGGCACAGGGCCCTTGAAGGCAGCCCAGGGTTCTGACGTATACTACTCAGCCCATTCAGCTGTTTACAGGGGGCTCTGACATGAGGCCACTCCTGCCGACCCCACAGAATCCACAGTGAGAGGAGAAACCTGGCAGAGCAGTGGGGGTAATGACCCTGGCAGGGCAGCTTTCAACATCTGAACACCCCAACCCAGTGGCCAGCAGTGGGAGTCATCACCCAGGGGGGTGGATTGAGGAGGGGCCCCCACTCCACTCTGACCTCATTGGGGTACACAGATACTGGAGTGAGATAAGGGCCCTTCCCTGGCTCCTGGCCCCATCCCTCCTCCACATGGCAGAGATGGACCCTTCTAGAACATCCTGGGTCCCACTGGACGTAACTGGAGGTCTAGGCATGAGGGAGGGCCTTAAGTGAGGAAGGATGGGGACCCTTTCCCGACAGCATCCACCACATGTTACCTGGTAGGACCTGCAGGGACATCTCGTAGAGTCCTGATGCGCTGTCGTCCAGTTCTGTCTTTATCTGGATGGCATGGCCCTGCCCACACAGCCCCCTGGAGGGGCTATGCCCACTGCCCCACCCCGTGAGAGCAGCCCCTGGTCCCATAGCTGATTCACAGGCTGCCATCGCCACCCGGTGTCTGTGCGGATGCAATTAGGTTTAATGGGACGTTCGCCCACCCCACTGCCCTAGGCGCTGCAGGCGGGAGCAGAGCGGAGGGGCGCTGGGGAGGAGGGGGGCAGGGGCTCTGACGTCAGCCTGGCCTATAAGAGGCCCCGGCCAGAGGGCTGCGGAGTTGGAGCTGGACCTTGCCGCGATGCCCACCCCCAACACTGCCTCCCCGCAGGCCAAAGGCTTCCGAAGGGCTGTGTCTGAGCTGGATGCCAAACAAGCTGAGGCCATTATGGTAAGAGGGCAGGGGGCTGTCTGGGCAACAGGGCCAGTGTGGGGTCTCAGCATTCGGTTGAGGACCTGTGTCCCCATCTGCTGTGTATGTGATGGTGTGTGAGCCCAGAAGTGGGGTCTCCTGGGCCAGTCCCTCAAGGTCCTGCACCTTGAGCACAGGAGTCAGGGAGGCACCTGCCTGATTCTGAAGACGGGACCCCCGAGAACAAGACCTGAGGTCTCAGAGCCTGCTGGCCCTGACCCTCCCCATTGCCTGCTCAGCAACAGGGTGTGGGAGCACCCCAAGTCCTGACTGACCAGAGCTGAAGAGAGCTGGAAGTAGAGGTGGGAGTCAGACAGAGAGTGATGCAGACTCCAGGCAGATTTCCTCCACCCACCACCCAGCCCCCAGTGACCTGTCCACCACCCAGCCCCCA